AAAAAGGAAATCAGCCTATGTTTTAATGACTGCTTTTCACCCAGCTAATTAGGACCAGAGAAGATGATGTGAGTACCATCTTCATAACCTTTAACACACATACTCCTGTGCATGGATTCTCACACACAGCCAAATTTTCATTATTGTTCAGGTAAGATCCAACTACAATTTGTTGGGCTGAGAAAACTCGGAGTTGATTCATGTAAGCCTAAATAGTATATATTTACTCTCCAAGCAATTTGGCCAAAACACTTTCTCTATTATTTTCAAGTCAAAAGAACTGACAAATTTTTCTTCTATCGTGACCAAGAAATGGAGAAAAGAATGGTCAAATGGAAAATGTACAAGTTGGGACCTGTTAAAACCAGTTGTTCATATAATTTTGGCAACAACGGAAGGTGGAATTATAAGAAGGGTGCACTGGCATGGTAAAAAAGGCACTTTTCCATAAACGTTTAATCTACATATAAAATACTAATGTAAAAAACTGCCTGAAAGAGCAAGAGCAGTAAAAACAGAATTTTATTAATATACAAGGCTTAGAATGACATGAAAACAGAGTTAAAAAGTAATTAGGGCACTGGGACAATTTACCAATGATACTGTAGTCAATCTTCTGCATCATGAATGCCACCTCCACAGTTTAGCTCTAGTGACAAAAGCAGGCAGAAGGGGAAAGCTCTCAATATGTACAGTGGACGAATGCTGATCCTCTTGCTAGTGTCTATACCCAAGTTCTTTTTCTCTCCCTTTTGGTGGTGCTAGGGATCAAATTCAGGGCGTTGCATGTGATATGTAAACTCTCTACCCGAGCCTCACCTCCAGGCCTGAGTTACTGCTCTAATAAATCTGCTGAATTACAGTTTTTTTTTTCATTGAGTCCCTCCAAATAACCAAAAGCATGCATATATAAAATGGACATCTTAGTTAGAGAGATGGGGCCTATGCTTGAGATGCAGAGTAAAGCTACAAGGTTTCCCATAACTTTTGACTAATTAAAGAAATCAGGAAACAGGGATAACAAAAAATTTTACTAGAAAATTTCTCAGGCTAACCCCTGAGATTATGTACAACTACGCTGAATTTAAGAATTAGTCATTTCAGCTGGGCGTTGGTGGCGCACGCCTTTAATCCCAGCACTCGGGAGGCAGAGGCAGGCGGATCTCTGTAAGTTCGAGGCCAGCCTGGTCTACAGAGCGAGTTCCAGGACAGCCTCCAAAGCCACAGAGAAACCCTATCTCGAAAAAACCAAAAAATAAAATAAAATAAAATACAAGAATTAGTCATTTCATTGTGGTTTTTATTTGCTGACTGATTCCTTTTTTTCCCAAACAAACATCTACAATGACTTAAAAAAGTCAAAGGGGCCCACATAATAAGGTGCTTGAGACCTGCAAGCCCAGTATGTGGGCAGCATAGTGCAACCTCACTGAAAAAATAAAAACAAATATTCAAAAAGGTCAAAAGGAATTATTTTCATTCTGAAGTGACATATGCACAATTTCTTCCTTCTATATTTTCTGGGTAGATTAGCCAAAATTCTTGTAGGCAATAAATCTATGATAATGAAATTTTAAACTATAACTTACAACATTATACAAAGATGGAGGGCAAGGAAGGATGAGAGGAAGGATGGAAGGGAGGGAAAAGAGGCCTCTCATTAATACTGCTATAATAAACAAAGCCCTTTAAATACTTGTTCTAAGGAGACAGGGTAGACAGACCTATACTGGCTAAATAACAAATAACATGATGTTAGAATCAGAAAAACACAGCAAATCTTAGGAACAAATTATCTAAGCCAGGCATTGGTTGCAAACATCTTTAATCCCAGCACTCAGGAGGCAGAGGCAGGCGGATTTCTGTGAGTTGATGCCAGGCTGGTCTACAGAGTGAGTTTTAGGACAGCCAGGGCTACACAGAGAAATCCTGTCTCAGAAAACAAAACAAAAAAAACCTGAAATTATCTAACTGTCTTCTTGGTGTGGAATGACAGTAAGGAATAACAAGTAGCACACACACACACACACACACACACACACACACACACACACACACACACACACACACACACACACGAGAGAGAGAGAGAGAGAGAGAGAGAGAGAGAGAGAGAGAGAGAGAGAGAGAGAGAGAGAGAGAGATAAGCTCCAAGCATTTCTGTGAGTTGCTGAAAGCAAGAACTTAATGTAACAAAGGAATAAAATGTAGTTCACAGTTTATTTAGGTCCTTCTGCCAAATATAAATTTAATAAATCCTGATTCTCAAGGTCTTTGCTGGCTCACTGAGTCTTCCCATAGGCAGCAGTAACTTGTAACAGTAATTGAGAAGCTGCATTCTTAGCACAAGTATCAACCACTGAGCTAACTCTTCAATAAGAAGACAAATACTTTTTGTAACCAAATCATATACTCAAACATTGTACTTAACACGGACCTTTATGGGCGAGGAACATTTAACAATGTAAGAAAACAAATAAACCTCCATCATTATTGAACAGGAATATAGTAGCACAGCACAGCCCTTGTATAAATAACCACAGAAGTGATGAGACTAAAAATGGGGGTTTCTGCCTCCATCCACTCAAACCACTACAGTTCAGGTGATGTTCTGTTCTAAACATTATAAAACAGAAATTGGTCCCAGTGACTTGGCATTGTCAATCAGCATTTTATAAGGATAAGCTTCTAGTACAGAACAGAAGTCACCACACAAGCCAGACTTCTTGCTGCCACTTCATCCATGGTGCGGTTGTAACAAACATTCTAATTTGATCTTGGTGAACAAACAGATTTCCTGAATCTCCTACATGATCTCAGAAAATAATTCAGAAAACTCAGAAGTAAATGTGGTTTTAAACTGACTTCTGTCTTTTCTAAGACCAGCTAGGTCTGCATTCTATGATGCTCCAGACACCACTCTAGTATCCTGTACATTCTAAAGCTGAAGCACTGAATTGTGTGGCTGATCCTTCTCGCAACCTGAACTATGTTGGGTGATGTTTCCCTATAGGGAGTGGAGAGAAGGGAGATATTGAGGAAAATACTTTTGGTTCAGAGAATTTATAAAGTAGCTCTGGATATTAAAAGATGGGAAAATGTTATTAAAATTACAAACATGGTATTTTTAGTGTCTTTATAAATAAAAGGCATAGGATACAGAAAGCCAATTAATAGCAACAACAATAATAAAATATTAAATATATAGTGAACAAAGACATAGTGGCTCATTCTTGTCAAACACCATTTGACACACTGCCTCAAATAAGTTTCCTTGCTCTTTCCTTGCTGAGTGAAGATCCAGCAAACACATAATAGTTGCCTTTAGCTCACTAGTAACATCAAGGAATTGCCTGGTGGAATGGCTACAGATAAACAGGCCATTTGTTTTAAAAGGTACTTAAATACTCAATAAAGACATAACAAACCCCTCATTGTTATCAGACGCCACGTTGTGGTAGAACATCAGACAAACTCACAAATTTACCACAAAATGTGTGGCAAAAAGAATAGTTTATATATGTATATATATATATATATATAAATTTCTATATTTATGCCAATGTACTCACTCAGTACAAATAGCAAAATAGTATACCATTTCCTAAATATAAAATATAGCTTTCCAAAAAAATGAAACACACATTAGATATAAACCATCCAAAACTTGAACGATTGAAAACTGTTTTCAAAATTAAATGACCAGAGTAGGTCTCTTTCTGGAAAGTTCCCTTCATATCGGCAAGAAGCCTGTACTACTGAAAACGTAATCCAATGCCTCTCAGAGAGAGAAAGGAAGGGCCAGGGCAGAGGAAGAAGGACAACGAGAAAAAGCAAGTGACAAGAACAACAGTAAAAGAACAAAGGCAGAGTCACAAATGGGGAATCTGACTATATAAACAAAACCAATACCACAGTTCCACAAAGCTGAACAAATGTGTGGGATAGGGAGAGAAAAAAAAAAAAAGAAAACTAAGGTTAAGGGAAAGAAACCACAAACTGGCTAATTTTTAGATACATAGAAAGTAAGAGAAACAAATAGGATACCAAAACATATCACCACACAGAAGCCACACACACTGGCCTTATGCTGCATTGACACTTTCCTCATGCCAAAGATAAAAGAGACATAAGCATGTGTCCAGATGTAGGTGGGAGTGAGGAGTGGGCACCCACAGGTGGCAAGAACACCCCAAACTCTACAGCCAATGCTACAAATGCAAGTTCTGGAGTGTATAATTTTGCTCTCTGATGTAACACAAGTTAACTCTTCCTTTTACATCAATGATAAGACCCTGTAAAGTCCAAGGCTTTGCACTTACTTGTGGGAACCATCAAGTTAGTGACCACTTCAACTGTAAAGCACTGAGGTGACAAGTGAATTATAGTCACTGCAGCTCAGGGATAAGTAATAGTTTGAGAATCTTTGTTTGCCTTGTTTGTAAAGTGAAAACTTTCATTGTTTTTCATTAGAGGGAAAAATTTGAAGACTTCAGAACAGCACCGTTCATGGAGAGAGAGAGAGAGAGAGAGAGAGAGAGAGAGAGAGAGAGAGAGAGAGAGAGAGAGAGAGAGAGAGAGAGAGAGAGAGAGACAGAGAAGAGAGAGAGAGAGAGAGAGAGAGAGAAAGAGAGAGAGAGACAGAGAGAGACAGAGAGAGAGAGAGAGAGAGAGAGAGAGAGAGAGAGAGAGAGAGAGAGAGAGAGAGAGAGAGAGAGAGAGAGAGAATTGTTTTTTTTTCCTCAGGAATCAACTCCCAATAATTCCTAAGAGTATTCCTGGCCAGGTGCTGCAGACTGCCAGGTCACTGGATCAATGTGGTTGCCTTCTCTAAATTACTACAGAGTCATAAAGCCAGTAGTATATTAATAGCTGTCTAAAACTAAAGAGGAAAACAATACAGAAACATATAAAATGGGAACACTAGCCTAACGCTGATAAGAAAGAAGACTAAATTATTGTCAGTTTAAACTACTGAAGGAGAATATGAGAACATAATGTCATGTATTACCCCCTTTGTTTTCATAGAACAAAATATTTTTATGCAGTTATGGCTAAATCCCTTAGTAGAAATACAGAGAACTAACAACTCTCTGAAAAATGAACTAAGTAACATTCCAGCTGTATCCAGTTTTGAAAGCATGTCATCTATACATGTGTGATGAGTAGTCCTCGGATCTGCAGAGTTCTTAATACAGCTCTTTTGTAAGTTATCCCTTTCAGCTTCTCCATGAAAACTGATAGAAACTCCTTCACTTTGGCCAACATCCTTTTTTTTTTAAACATCAACAAAATCACAGCCTTAGTAATTACTCAACTTTGCCTAAGCCATTACTTGACTAAAATAATATAGGAAAGAAAATAAGAAAGTAAGTAAACATGACAAATGTGATTTTCTAATAGCAATAATAACTGAGAGGACCAGCCTTGCATTTAAAAACCTAGGACAAAAGCAACAATTCTATCAGCTGGAAAATTAAACATATTCTCAGTCATCACTGTTACTAGAAACAAAAAGCACATTGGTGGCAAATTACTGCAACAGGCAGCATAGGTGTATTCTTACAGCCAGGAAATCTACCCATTTACTCAAACACAGTTCTTCATAACTGTTCAATAATCTTCATGGAACCACAAGTTCTCAAGACATCTTGGAATCATCATTACTTTCTTCATGGAATTTCTGGGAGAAAAAAAAAATCAGTATCTTACTAGGGAGGAAAGGCATTTGTGATGTGTCTGTCACCATGAATGATCCCAAAAGAAATTGTGTATGTAGGGAACCTTGTCATATTCAGTTTCTCTTACTTTTTTGATGGTACTGAATATTGAACCTAGGGTCTCAATTATGCTAGGAAAGAGCCTAACTGCGATGTATTCCCAATTCATAATATTTCATAATATTTAGCATTCAATAGAATTTTCTCTATCTTGGTCTCCTTTCTCTACTATGGTTGAATCTAGGGCCTTATGTGCTAGCCAGATATTCTGTCACTCTAAAGCAAAAAAGCTTTCCAGACAGAAGGAATGTTCAGTATTTCCTATCTGACCTAAGCTATCATTCAGAGTGATTTGCTCAAAGTGAATGTCCTATTTTAAAAGGGTAAAGTCTAAGCAGTGCTATTAACCAAAATCTGTTATGAATAAATTTATTAATGCTTTTCACTAAGAAGTCAAAAGGCAATACTCACATATCTCATTAGAAGGAGCCAGTTAAATTGTTCCCTTGGCTTTGCAACGAAACAAGCAAATCAATCTTCTCCATGCTCTGACTGCTGTTCACAGAAGCAGCCAGCGGGGAAGCCTCTGGCATTTGCTGAGAAAGAAGAGTTGTCACAGAAGCCTGGCCCTCATTTTGTGTCTGGCCTGGCTGATTTATGGCCATCAGCTGATCTGGCAAGGTACCTGGTCCAGAGGTTAAAAGCTGACTACAATCTGTAGACAATGAAATAAGAAACATCTGATTAGCCAAGATTCATGAAAAAAATACTTTTTAGTTGCCAGAGGAAATTCATTCCTGTGCTGATGCAGTATACTACTTAAGCCTAAGAAAACGGTTTTCACAGGATGGCACTGGAATTAATCTTGAGATTATTCTAACAAATATAAATATACTGCATAGGTTTGGTGTGGTGGAGCACACCTTTAATCTTAGCATTTAAGAAGCAGAGCAGGTAAACCTCTGAGTTTAAGGCCAGCCTGGTCTACACATTGAATTCCAGGATAGCCAGGGTTAAATATTGAGAACCTAACTCTAAATATATAAATATACTACTTAGGTATCTTCCAAATCTATGTAATTACTTCACATTACACAGGAAAAGTGGGTGCCTAAACTCTTTTAAAAAACTTAATTGGCTGACATATTATCTTTCCTTATTTAATTTTCATTTCAAATTAATAGCTTAAAATGGCAAACATATTTTTACACTTCAATACATCTAACCCTCCTACTATCTTTGTGAGGTATAAAAATTACCGCCTTTTTGTTTCTGTTTCTGAGACAAGGTCTCATGTACCCTAGACTGGCCTCAAACACAGTATGAAGCCACAGATGACTTTGGATTCCTGGTCTTCCTGCCTCAACCTCTGAAAGACTATAACTACAGGTATGTGCCATCATGACCAGTTTAAAATGATCTTTTGAAAATATGGAAATTCAGGCCCATGAAGGCCAGACAACTTGTCTTCAGTTGGTGGAAACTTTACTCTGCTCTTAAGACACTATGCTTTGCGCTTCCTTATAATAATCTGAGCATCTCAACTGAGTACTGAGAAATTTGTTTCTTACTATTTTGAATGCCAAATAAGAACATTCCGGAAGTCTGTTGAGATGAGGCAGGAGAATTCTGTAGTTGGTTCATTGTGCCTCCTGCAGTGTTATGAAACAAAGTAGCCTGTGACTGCGGTGAAGAAGTGGCTCCTTGGATTCCAGGCATGTTGTTCTGAGATGAATAAAGAGGAGACTGTTGCATTTCTTGTTGGTTTATACTGGTTTGCAATGCAGACATGGATGCTGGAGAGAGGAAGAGTGTGACTTGCTGCTCTTGAGAACTGGGTGATCCTTGTACTAACTGGATCTGAGGAGAACTATGGAACAAGGAGGTCTGTGGTGACTCAGACTGCGCTGGACCCGGGTTCTGAATTGAGGAAACCGTAGGCTGATTCTGAAATTGCATGGGCTGTTGCTCTTGGTTCATTGGGGCCATATTACTTTGCTGATGAAAAATTGACTGGTTCTGCTGCTCCTGACTAGCCATTGGGTTTTGGTTTGGGCTAAATATTATGTTTGGTGGTGGCTGCTTCTGAGATGCCATTGTAGCCATAGCATTCTGATTACTGAATAAAATGCTCTGCTGCTGCTGCTGTTGTTGCTGCTGCTGTTGCTGCTGCTGCTGTTCCTGGGATGGAGAGTTACTCTGCATGCCAACTATTGAGTGCTGTGTTTGGAAAATTGTTCCTTGTTGGTTTTGAGGCATTGGATTAGATGGAAGGGAGCCAAGGGCCACCTGAGGCTGAAATAGACCTTGCTGAGTGGATTGTGCCTGTTCCTGGGAAAGAATAGGTGTTGGGATGTGTGAGATTGGAGGCTGCTGTTGAAAAGCAGCTTGCTGCTCAGTGTTCGATGTTGACTGAAGTGGAGAAATTGAGTTCTGTGCTGCAAAAAATGAAATCTGTTCTTCTTGGGCTACTGTGTTAGTTTGGGAAAGAAATATGTTGGGTGACTGCTGGTCTTGTGGAACTGAAGAGCCTTGTAATACAGTGATGGTATTCTGAGAGTGAAACATTGAAGACTGCAACTGTTCAGAGGATGCTGTGGAAGTCTGACTGTGGACAATAGGATTTTGACTGTGAAAAATTGAACTTTGAGTTTCCTGGGAAAGGTTCTGAGCATCAGCAATAGGATTTTGAGGATGAAAGAGTTGAGCCTGTGAATGAGAAGACTGCTGCAAAAAGTTCCCAGACTGAAGTGACATCATCTCATTTCCTTGCTGGAACAAGCTATTCCCTTGCTGTTGGGAACCACTATTCTGAACACTCATTATATTTTTTGTAGATGAAAAGAGGTTTACTTGAGGTTGGCTGTCCCCACTGTGCTGCATTTGTACCATTGTCTGAAAGACACTGTTCTGAATTTGTTTTGCCTGTGCTCCAGTTTCTTCCCCATCTCCTGAACTTGGTGCCTGAAACATAGTGGAGCCAGGGGTTGTAACCTGTGGCGTGTTGGTTGTAGAAGTTTCATTTCCAGAAACTGTGGGGGAAGAAGAGAACAACTCGCATTGCATTTGCATGTCCTCACTGGTAGGAAGTGCACTCATCATGTGAGAAGGCTGCTGGTAAACTGGAGACTGCTGAAGGCTTCCATTTGCTGAAGCAGCCGAAGGAAATAGTTCTGACTGAATCTGGGCAGCTGCTTGGCAAATGCTCTGCTGCATCTCCATCACCATTGCAGCTGATGACTCCATCACTTGCTGCTGCTGCTGCTGCTGTTGCTGCTGCTGCTGTTGCTGCTGATTAGACAGTGTGTTTTCAGGCTGTTGATGGACACTGTCAGCCCTCCCAGGTAGTAAGTTATCTGGTCTGGTGTGAACTGCAGGCTCTGAGGAGGAAAACATTCCAGGGCTTACACTATTTTGAATTTGACTGACTTGGAAAATGTCTGCATTAAGCTGTTCTTGTACGTTTTCATTACCATCTGGAGCAGAAAACAGAACAGAAGATAACTGTTGTTGTGCCTCTAAAACCTGCTGGACCAAGTCAACACTTCCACTGCTGCTACCAGCAGTGCCACCTGTAAAACTTCCTGCTTGCAGATGTTGAATAGTACTCTGGAGCTGGCTCACACTATTTGGTGATGGAAAAATATTTGATGAGATCTGCTGCTGTAGCGTCTGTGCTTGTTCTTGTAGCGGGGACTGTTGCTGCTGTTGTGATGCCTCAGTCAACTGTGACAAATTAACTACTGTGCCATCTGACTGTAATGTGTCTCTGGACTGAGATTCTCTTGTCTGAAACTGTGTAGCCTGCTGTAGTAGTGCATCACTGCCGGGCAGCTGACTAGAAGCAGAAACTGCTGGAAAAGTCCCAGGCTGTGAGATGTCCTGTGTTTGGATAGTTGTCAGGGTCTCTGGGTTGTATGCCTTGGGCTGAAGTTGCTGTGGATTTTCGTTTTCAGAAGGTAAATGGGAAGATGATGGGGATGAAAAAGATGAATTTCCTGCTATGTTAGAAATAGTTTCTAATGCTTGCTGAGTTGATCCAACTGTCTTTGTAGCCTAAAAAAATAAAGTCACAAACAATATGTACATATTAACATTAAATAATCACATTTGTTACTCCAAAATTATTTCTAACAATGCACACAAAATTTTCTACTCTATATAATCAACTTGAAATTGGTGTTAAGACTGATTCTCTATAACATAATTTTTTGTTTGTTTTTTTGAGACAGGGTTTCTCTGTGGCTTTGGAAGCTGTCCTGGAACTAGTTCTTGTAGACCAGGCTGGTCTCAAACTCTCAGAGATCCGTCCGCTTCTGTCTCTCTAGTGCTGGGATTAAAGGCGTGCACCACCACTGCCCGGCTCTCTATGACATAATTAATATCTGGCATTTAGTATTGTGATCAGTTATTGGTGTGCTTAGCCAAATTGAGAATAATAAGAAAACATTAATCCTATGGTTTGTGAGTAACCAAATTGGAAAGACTTCCACATTGTGGATCAACACTGCAATGGGGAAAAAACAGGAATTAAAAAGACAGCAGAGGGCTGGGGGTTGGTGGTGCACACCTTTAGTCCCAGCACTTGGGAGGCAGAGGCAGAGGCAGAAGGAGCTTTGTGAGTTTGAGACCAGCCTGGTCTACAAGAGATACTTCCAGGATAGGCTCCAAAGCTACAATGGGAAGCCCTGTCTCGAAAAAACAAAAAACAAAACAAACAAACAAAAAATTCCCCAAACAAAAACAACAAAGACAGTAGAGAAGAAACCATAATCAAAATGTTTCCACCTCTGAAAATGATAAAATTAGTGCTTTAATTCTATCAATCAATTTGGGGGGCAGGTTCTTTCTGTGTAGCCAGGTTGATCTTGAACTCACATCCTTGGCTCCTTAGGCCCAAGACCAACTTGTAATAACCTTTATAAAAAGGCTCATCTCACAAGTATTATTAATTCCTCCTCTTGTCAAAATGTGTATTAGAAATTACTTTGCAAACAATATTACTGATATATAAAGCATTTGCTCTAAACAGAAAATTAAGCCTATTCAATGGAAAACAAATGTCAAAGAAACAAGGAAGGTGAATACAGCAGTTTTTCATATGTGAAATAAAGATATGGGGCAATAGTTATTAGCATAGCTCACCTGAAAAATAGGGGGAGATCTTTTCTCTGCTGTTACTTCCATTGGAGTAACATCTTCAGTCTTAATCATACTGCTTGATATGAGTGGAGTGATCAGGGCATTAGGAAGAATGTTTACCTTATCTAAGTTACATCCAGACGTTTTCATTGCTACACAATAAAAAAAAAATTGTAAATCATAAAAATCATAAAAACAATCTGTTTACTATAAGCTATTTTTTTGTTTGTTTTGAAGTAGTCTCTTGGACAGTCTAGACTGGCCTGCCTCAGTCCAAAAGAGTTCAAAGTATTGTGTGCTGTACCACCATACCTTGCTTAAATGTCTATTTCATTTACTTATTTATCTAAATGTCTATTTTTTGATATTATAATGCAGGATACATTTGCCCCTACCCCATTTTTTTAAGACTCTCATGTAGTCCAGGATGGGCTCAAACTAGATATGTAGCCTAGAATAACCTCAAACTTTTGATCCTGCCTTCACTTGGCACTAATGTGTGGGTCACCATGCCTGTATGTACAAAGACAATTATTGAGCCCAGGGTTCAACGCATCCTAGGCAGGCACTCTGCCCATTCTGCTACATCCCCAACCCTACCGGGCTTGAAGATTCTTGGCATGGGCTGAGAAGACAGGCTTATTTATGTAGTATCATGCAAGGTAATCAATCAAACCTAAGGACACCTGAAATCTAGAAGAGCTTTACCACTAAAGAAATGCCTCCAACTGTAGACTATATAATAAGCTGAATCGGTTCAACTATCAAGCTGTATCCCACAAGTCACATCTAAGTGTACTGCGTTATATACTAGGTTTAGTTTAGTTTACCATACAGACCAGTAATCTCCAAGCATTCCAACTTTTTAAAGGCTAAGATTATGGAAGTATCTCTTTTACAGCTAAGAAAAGTTATTATTCCCTTTCCACTCTATTCTCCCCCTCCTCCACATCTTTGATTATTTTTCTTTTTACTTTTACTTGAGTTTGCCACTGGTACTTTATAGAGCCTACTGTTATTACTAATGGCAGTCTCTGAACTGATCATGCAGCTAAAGCCTGATTCAGAAGTTGGAGACTCAAACCCTTATTACTTTGAGATTTTGGATTTTTTTCAAGACAGGTTTCTCTGTGTAGCCCTGGCTGTCCCAGAACTCACTCTGTAGACCAGGCTGGCCTTGAACTCACTGAGACCCTGCTGCCTCTACCTCCCAAGAACCCTGGTATTAAAGGTAAATGCCACGGCCAGCCCAGCAGAAATACAGACTATCAAGATGGGTTTTACTAATATGCATCTCATGCTAGTCTCAAATATTTCATCTTCCCTTCTCAGCCTCCAGGATGCTAGCATTACAGGTCATATGCCACTATGCCTACCATCTCACAAACTTTCAAATGTCATTAATTTTTATTCAGTTTATTTTTCAATTTCCTTTTGATAATCCCACTCTCTTAAAAATATTTAATTTTATATCATGTGTATGAGTGTTCTGCCTATTTGTATGTGTACCATCCACCCCTGAAGGACAGAAGAGGGCACTGGATCCCTGGAACTGGAGTTACAGATGATTGTAAACTGCCATGTGGGTGCTGGGAATGGAACCTGGGTCCTTTGCAAGAGCAGTCAGTGCTCTTAACTGCTGAGCCATCTCTCTAGCTCCCTGCACTTCTTTTTAAAGGTAATCTCATGTTTCCCAGGGTGGCTTAATCTCAAAACCAAAGATTAGAACTTCTGATACTCCTGCCTTTGCTTTTAAAGCACTGGGATTACAGATGTACAGCACACCTGGTTTACACAGTGCTGGAGAGCCAAACCAGGGCCTCATGTGTTAGGCAAGCACTTTACCAACTGAGCCATCTTCTCAGCTAAAAACTTTCTCTTACTGTGAAGACTTTCCTATTCTTCTTATTACTGTTTACTTTCTGTCATATTTATTTACTTGTTTGTTTGCTTGCTTATGGAAAGGTGGCCTATGTAGTTCTGGAACTTAATATGTAGATAAGGCTGGCCTCAAACTCAGAGATCCTCCTGTCTCACTTTATTATTGATTTCTTATTTGACTTCACTATAAGTGGAAGACATAACTAGCAACAACAACAACAACAACAAAAATCAATGCAGTTTTCAGTTCTATAATTTCCACTTGGTTCTTTAAAAACCTCTACACTTTCTTTACTAAAATTTTCTATTTTTAGTTTTGACTTTTATTAAGAGAATTTAGGAATTACTTGTTGCATTAATTTCAAGATCTAACTTTTTGCTAGATAGTTCCAACACTTAAGACCACCTTGGATTTTGTTAGACTTGATTCCACTTAAATTGATTTGAACAGGTTTAACTTGCTAATTCAGGTTCTGGTTTACCTAAGTACACTGTAGTTTCATTGACAACTTAGTTCTATTTTGGGTTATCTGGTCTGGCTATTCCTAACTCAGACCTACATGTGATGCTGTCTACTGAGTGCTTCCAAAAGGCCATTGGTGTCTTTGGACAAGAAAGGAGAGGCTTTCTCCTGTATGTTTTTTGTGGTTGTTGTGGGTTTGGTTTTGTTTGTTTGGTATCACAGTGACAGCAGGCTTTCTAAACTATCACTGCTGGTGTTGCTAAGGTAGAGAATCATCTATGTGGGTTGCCTCTGGTTACATGTGACAAACTGGGTCTGGAACCCCATGTCTGGTTGGCTTTCTGACACCAGGCTGACATTATTGTTTGTTTTTTGAGACAGGGTCTCTCTACGTAGCCCTGACTGGCTAGAACTTACTATGTAGACCAGGCCAGCCTAGAATTCACAAAGATCCACCTGCCTCTGCCTCCAAAGTGCTGGGCCACCACACCCAGTTCCACTCAGATGACAACTAACTTTTGTCACTAAGTAAAGGGTTGGAAAATTCCTAGCTTAGATGTTCTACGTGGTTGGAGTGCTAGGAGCTTCCGGGACTTCCTAAAAGTAAGGAAATACTGACCTTGCAAAGATCATCGAAATGGAGAAGTATGGCACAGGGGATACATTAAGATCCACTGCTGCCATTTCTGGAAGCAGACTGACTATTGCTGCTCCATGTGCATAGCTTGGGGTACTAGAGCTCTCCTGTGTTCTACTGTGGGTTGAGTCCTGCTGACAGAACCCTTCAGGTTCTGCTGTTGCTGTAGCAGGTATGGTGGGGATATAAATTGGCTCCTAAACTGTCTTAGTGTGCGTGTTGAGCACATAAGTCATCTCAGAGTCCCTGGTCACTCAAATGATTTCTTTTTGTTTCAAAATACTTTTATGATAGGTGAGTTATTTATAAGCTATTTAGTAGTATTTAGGAAAGAAGCATGGAAAACTTACTGTTTTTTGCCCTAGAACCCATAATTATGCTTTAATGGACCTAAAAAAATTAAATGGGGTTGGGGAGATATACCAGTAGCAAAACACTTGCCTAGTCTGAGCCTAGGTTCAATTCCCAGTAACACACGTAAATATACACACAAACACGATTAGCATTTTTTTTCAATTAAAAGACTTGAGATGTTACTAGCATTTTTCCTTTCTCCATTTTCAATGTGTATATACTGAGTTTTATAATATTCTAGGCACTATTCTATGCTCTGAGGGTCCAGTGATAATTAGGATAAAAAATGTCTCCACTTTCTGAAAGTTGTCTTTCAGTAAGGAATGAAAAAAACTCAAAACATAAAGTCTATGTGTTACCTAATGCTAATAGTACCTTTTAAAACAATTGAGAAAAGTTAGACAGTAGATAAAAAAGACAGATTTCATTATTACAATACTGAGTTAAGCTTGAAGAACACTGCTACTGTCATTTATATGAAACTTTAGAAAATTAAGAAAAATTTCCTAAAAGAATATTGTCAGCAAGTAGGAGTCCCACCAAATAAAACTTTTATTTAAAGTATGAGTTAACCAATTCCAGGAAGTTTGATGCCTTCATCTGGTCTCCATGGGCACTAGGCATGCAAGAGGTGTACATATTCATTCAGGCAAAACAATCATACATATAAATAAAAAGAAATAATCTTAAGTATAAGAAAGTTGAAAGTGCTGGCATATGCCTGTAATCTAAGCTCCTGGGAAGTTGGGGCAAAAATATCACAAGTTTCAGGTTAGTATGGGCTACAGAGCAAGACCCTATCTCAGAATTTTGAGGTGGTTGAATAGAGGCTCAGACCTGTAATTACATGTAAGAGACTGGGGTAGGGGGACTATTGGGAACTGTTAATCAGTTCCAGGCCAGCCTGAGCTATAATGTGAGATTCTGTCTCAAAATTCAAATCAAACCAAAACACAGGAGACATTGTTTAAGTTTCAACTTTTGTCATTTACTAACTGTGTGACCTCGAGTAATTTTCACTTAATCTCTCTAAGCCTTGATTTACTTGCCTATATAGACAGGCTCTCTCTACACATCTCTGGCAGTCTGAGAACTCACTATACCAGACAGGCCTCCAACTCATAGAGACCTGCCTGCCTCTGCCTCCTAAGTGCTGATATCAAACACATTTGAGCCACCATTCCTGGTAAAAAAAAATTTTTGGAGGGGGGATCAAAGTTAGGCCCTGTACATGAAAGGCAAGCACTCTACCACTGAGGCTAGATCTCCAGCCTTTCACCTACAAAATGAAGATTATATTAGATTACCCTCACACCTCACAGTTCCTCCAAATCTTAATATTGTTACACAATCACAGTCAGAGAAAAGTATATGCTTTCAACTCTTGTTCAAACTCATTAAATTAACCACACATCACAAAACAGGATAATACAAAGATGACAGAAAGATACAAAGCAGAGATGGAAAATTTATTACATTAGTACTTTATCCCTAGGTCTTAGACATGACCCATTGAGCAGTCTCTTTATACTCAAATCTACCTGCACCAGTGAAGGTATTGAAAAACCATCTAGAAATATCCTCAGGAGGAGCTAAGAGAGAGGCTTAGTGGTTAAGAGCACTGACTGCTCTTTCAGAGGATATGGGTTTGATACTTGGCACCCACATTGTTATAGCTCCGGTCCTAGAAGATGGCCTCCAGGGGCACCCACCCAACACACACACCACACACACACACACACACACACACGGGGGGGCGTGGGCATGGCTCTACTTTAGAGAGAGCTTTTGATATGTAGTCTCAGTATTATGTTTTGAGTATCAGGATCTAAATGGTAAACCAGGTGGTGGTGGCCCACACCTTTAATCCCAGCACTCAGGAGGCAGAGGCAGGTGGATCTCTGTGAGTTCAAGATCAGCCTAGTCTACAAAGCTATAAGGAGAAACCCTGTCTTGAGGGGGGAGATCTACATGTTATTGCAAATCACAGTTATTTTAAAGAATGATCCTTAAAGAATTACTGCTGCAACAGAAATTGAAGTATCATTCATTCCACATAGTCTTCATTATTAAAGTATTGCTGATTAAATTTTCACGCAGCATTCTGGTGTACTACTTACTAAAGCTTTGATTTCAAGGAATCATAAATATAAGCTATTTGTTACGGAAGATTCCTAGTACTGAAGCTATTACTTTCTTTTAATAAGACAGCTTAGAACTCAATTTAGTTTACATCTTCACAAAATTATTTTACCCTACTTTTTAAAAATGTGTTTATTTTTATTTTATGTGCACTGGTGTTTTGCCATGGGTGTCAGGTCCCCTGGAACTGAAATTACAGACAGTTGGGATCTGCCATGTGGGTGCTGGAATTGAACCCCGGTCCCCTGGAAAAGCAGACAGTGCTCTGAACCACTGAGCCATCTTCTCCAGTCCCCTATTTTACCCTACTTTTAATTGACAAGGTATTTATCAAATAAGGTCTGAATTGTAAAAAAGAGTGTCTGTTTCATATTCAGGTTTGTTGTTGTTGTTTTCAAGACAGGGCTTCTCTGTGAAACAGTCCTACCTTTCCTGGAACTGGCTTTGTAGACCAGGCTGTCCTTGAACTCACAGAGATCCACCTACTTCTGCCTCCCTAGTGCTGGGAATAAAGGACTGAGTGTACTACATACTGGCCAGTTTTTTTTTTTTGTTGTTCGTTTCTTTTTGTTTTTTTGGAATAGTAAGATTTTTGTTCAGAGGACTAAATTTTTTTTATCACTAACAACAAAATAAAAACCATTCAATGGATGTCCTTTAAATGCAATTTCATGCAGGACTGGGCTGTGATCTACTGGACCTGATTCTCTATGAACAAGGAATTAAGGGATAAACTATAGTCAGGCACCATGGCTCACATCTGTAATCCCAATGCACTGGAGGCTGAGATAAAAGATTGCCAGGAGTTCCAGACTAGCCTGGTTATCAGAGTGAGAGCCTACTTCAAAACAAACAAGACAGATTATAAATATAGCTGATGTCCTTTAGCAACTAGAGTATTTATCTAACAAGTGTGAATTAATTTATTAATTAATTTTCCCTTTGGTTTTTTTTTTTTAAGACAGGGTTTCTTTGTATAGCTCTGGCTATCCCAGAACTCACTGTATACCAGGCTGGCCTTATACTCAAGAGACCCACATGCCTCTGGGTGCTGGGCTGGGATTAAGGGCATATGCTGCCACTGCCTAATGGAACACCAATTTATTTCAATGGTTTATACTGATCTACAGAATGAAGCTGAAACAAATTTTCAACTCCAGCTAAGTGATCTTATGTAAGCCACTCGACTTTTGAGTTCTTAGCTTCCTGTTCTGTTAAAAGTTCAGCATAGACTTCAAGTAAATGATCAATAACACAGTTACAAGGCTAGGCCTGTGGGGCTCTTTAGTTGAATCTGATAAGCTTCTCAGTCTATTTGCAACTTCATAGTTTTTCACTAATCTACTCTGGGAAAAGTTCATGGTCACAATTACAATAGCAAGCTGTAAGGGACTATTCAACATGTGAACGCTCAGTTTTACTACTGAAAAGTTTCAATGTAATTGATAAAATTTATCTAGTTCATTATGCCCCTTTATATAATTTAATTCACATGAATTTAAGGGTAGAAAATTGAAAGAAAAAAATTACAGAACTGTCTGTGCCATTATGTAATCTGTAGCTTCACAGATAAAGACATCATCACAATGTACTATGAATTATGGAGCAGTAATCTGCCTTACTACATTGTAACAGACTTAAATCACTTCATACTCATGGTTCCCTTTATACTTGGATTTTTTGAGACAGTTTTACTATGTAGGCTAGACAGGCCTTGAGATCATGAAATTCCTGTCTCAGATACCACAGCACTGGCACTATAGGCATGTGCCATCACACCTGTTTCTGTTGTTTAAGTTAGTAGAGCAGAGCGGTGACTGCACATACCTTCAATCCCAGCGCTGGGGGGGGGGGCAGAGGCAGACCAGATCTTTGAGCCTGAGGCCAGCCTGGTCTACAAAGCTAGCTCCAAGATAGCCAAGGCTGTTACAGTCTTAAAAAACAAACAAAAATCTAAAATTTGTAGGGAAGCAAATAAGCATGTCAGAAGAATGGTTAGATCCCAAAGCAACTTTTCATATACCTACAGAGTTCATATTTCAATCTTCAATCTCAGTAACAAGTACTATCTTCTTAAGAAGAAAGCTTCATAATATCTGCTTTACATTTTGGGGGTGGGGTTAAGACAGAGTTTCTCTAGATAGTCATGGTTGTCCTAGAACTCACTCTGTAGACCATGTTGACCTTGAACTCACAGAGATCCACCTGCCTCTGCCTCCTGAGTGCTGGGATCAAAGGTGTGCACCACACCAGCAGGCTTCTGCTTTACTTTTTTTTGTGTAATTTATACATATTACTTTAAAAATTATTTATTATCATGATTGCTCTGTGTGTTCTGCCAGTATGTATATCTGTGTGAAGGTGTTGAGTCTTCTGGAACTGGAGTTATAGACAGCTGTGAGCTGCCATGTGGGTGCTGGGAATTGAACCCAGGTCCTCTGGAAGACCAGCCAATGCTCTTAACCACCATCTCTCTAATCCCTTATACATATTACTAAGTTCATCAGCCTACTGGCAAGTGCCTTTATCCATTGAGCTACCTTGAAGGCCCGTAAGGGGTTTTTGGTTTTTATATTTTATTTTTATGTAAATTGGTGTTTTGCCTACATGTATGTCTGTTGAGGGAGTCTGCTGTTCTGCAACAGGGGTTAGACAGTTGTGAGATGCCATATGGGTGCTGGGATTCAAACCTGGGTCCTCTGGAAAAGCAGCCAGTGCTCTTAACTACTGAGCCATCTCTCTAGTCCCCACTTTAGGGTTTTTTTAAACTGAAGAATTAAAACAAAACAAAACTCCTTTACTCTAACATATTCATTATTATTTTGATATAAGGTCTTGTTATGTAGCCTATGGTGGTCTTGAACTCATGATTCCCTTGCCTCTCAAGTGTTAGGATTACAAGTATGCACTATCAATCATGTTTGGTCTATTAAGTTTTTGGTTTTTGTTTTTAAAGTAAATCAATATGCTAAATGAAGGAAAATAACAAGTTGAAAAATAAGTCTCTGCATCAGGAGAGATAAACAAATATTTATTTTATAATTTGGAAAACACCTTGCTAAGAGTCACAATATATCAGAGAAAAGAAAGCAGTAAAGTTTACTGGTGAGCACACAGGATGGCCATTATTATCAGTATCTGAGAAATATCAACTTGGTACCTTTCATGGCTTCTTCAAAAGAGCACGGTCTTGCTGGACTAGATACCTCCTTTTTCACATTCACATTCAAAGCACCAGCTGCTGCTATTAAAAATAAAAGTCATACATTTATTTCAATTTATTGATCCCAGTAAAACAGATTTTAATAAATACTCTTTAACTAGAATGTTTTCTCAGCACATCGTTGACTTATTTACTATAAATCCTAGGTTGAGGCAATTTTTTTATAGCCAGCAGACTACCTTCTAAAATATACTCCTCTTCAAGTAGATAGAACATATGATCACTTACCAAAAAATTCAAGAATCCTTTTAGCTCCAGGAGGTGGTGGCACACCTTTAATCCCAACACTTAGGAGGCAGAGGAAGGCAGATCTCTGTGAGTTTGAGGCCAGCCTGGTCTACAGAGCAAGTTCTAGGATATGTTCAAAAGCTACACAGAGAAACCCTATTTCAAAAAACAAAACAACAAAGAAAGCAGGCCAGTGAGTAATAACCTTCCATGGCCTCTGCATCATCTTCTGCCTCCATGTTTCTGCCCTGTTTGAGATCCTGTCCCAACTTCTTCTGATGATGAATAGTGAGTGATTCCTAAGTGTAAGCCAATAAACCCTTTCCTCACCCACTTCCATTTTCATCATGGTGTTTCGCTGAAGCAATAGAAACCCTAAGACAACCACTGACTGATCCATCTCTTCAGGCATGCACCACGGTAGTTAGTGTTTTGAGTGGGCCCTGGCATGGAATTCAGGTATTTATGCTTGTGCAGACTGAGTCATCTTCCCAGGCCATGTATTTTTTTAAATTCCCTTTCCTATATGTATGTGTGTGTTCAAGTATGTGTAGATACATGTGTATGAGTGTACCCATTTTGTGAAAGAGGCCAGAGGTAAACCTCAGATACCTGTCCTTAGGAACCATCTATTTTGTCTATTAGACAGAATCTCTCATTGGCCTAGAGCTTGCTAGTTAGGCTAGTTTGGCTGGCCAGCAAGTCTCAGATTCTCCTATCTCTACCCTACTAGCTCTGGTACTTACAAACTTATACCATAATAGTTGGTTTTGGAAAATGTGTTCAGGGAATCAAACTCAGGTTTTCATGCTTGCATAGCAAGCACTTTACACTACAGACTGAACTCTCAAACTGATTAGAAATGTTTTAAAGCAAGGCGCCGGTGGCACACGCCTTTAATCACAGCACTCCGGAGGCAGAGACAGGCAGATGATCCCTGTGAGCTCAAGGCCAGTCTGGTCTACAAAGCTAGTTCCGAGACAGCCTCAAAGCCACAGAGAAACCCTGCCTCAAAAATGTTTAAATTAATTTATTTATTGTCTATGTGCATGCACACACATATATAACAGCGACTAACCAATGTTGCTGTTGGTTTTATCTAAATAACATTCTAATTTCTATTTTGTTTCTTTTATCTCTTCCTATGTAGCCTAATCTTAATGCATCAGGCTCCTGAGTGCTGAGATTACAAACTGAAATTACCTAGCCTGGCTTTCAGGGCTTGAAGCACATTTTAAAAAATTATTATCAGCATAGGGGTGCATGTGTCATGGCCCTTATTTATTTTATATTCATACACATATCCAAAATGAAATTTGAATTGGTTTACTTCTAATGATAATATCAAGACATTTATCTCTAAAAGAATAAAAGGATAGCCGGGCAGTGGTGGCGCACGCCTTTAATCCCAGCACTCGGGAGGCAGAGGCAGGCGGATCTCTGTGAGTTCGAGGCTGGGCTGGACCAACAGCCTCCAAAACAATGCAGAGAAACCCTGTCTCGTAAAACCCAAAAAGAAAAAAAGAATAAAAAGATAAAACTGGGGGCTGGAGAGATGGCTCACTGATTAAGAGCACTTGCTACTGTCATAGGGATCTTAAATTCATTTCCCAGAGTCTACATGGAAGCTCCCAACTGACTGTAACTTCATTTCCAGGAGATCCAACACCCAGGCCAATGATCTACTTGTCTCTGTCTCTCCAGAGCCTTGATGACAAGAACGTGGCTTTTTTTTTTTTAAGTTTATTTTTATTTTGTTTGCATTGGCATGTTGCCTACACGTATATCTGTGTGAGGGTGTCAGATCCCCTGGAAATGGAGTTATAGACAGTTGTGAACTGTCATGTGGATGCTAGGAATTGAACTCGGGTCCTCTGGAAGACCAACCAGTCCTCTTAACCTCTGAGACATTTCTCCAGCCCAAGAATGTGGCTTTTTATGTGAGTTCTAGGAATCAATTCATGTCCCTATGCTTGCAAGGCAAGCACTTTACTGACTGAACTACCTCCTCAGCTCTGATCTCATTTGTTTTTCGTTTGTTTTGGTGCAACAGCTTTCTTTTTCTATCACTTTTCCTTACCTTCTATGTCACTGGGTCCTGAAGTATGTGGGAATAACATTATCAATAAACTACAGGTGCAGAACTGCATTCTGAAATGGTCCTCGCTAAAACAAATTGAGCCAATAATAACTATAGCAGAAACTGAACCCCCACACAATGCAACAAGCCAATAATTTTTCACTTTGACGTACCTGGATCTGGAGTGTAAGTAAATGGCTGAACATCATGAGATCTTCCAGCATTGGTCACAACATATATTCCCACTGATACAGGCAAAGTTATATGTTGGTCATGGTATGGGGGGACCTTCACAATAAGATGGTTCTAATTAAAGGAAAGTATAAGAATCAGAAAGGAAGCCAATGTTAAAAAGAAAAAAATAAGAACATTACCTGTTATCTGTATAGTTTTTAAAATTTTGATTAGAAAAGTGCACAAGATTTTCAGAGCCAGGTCTTGCTATGGAGCTTAAACCTGCCTCAATCCCACCTTCCTGCTACACTCAAACCCCACATTCAGGGATTACAGGTATGGGCCACTACTGCAAGCAAAAATTTATTTTATTTTATTTTTTAAAGATTTATTTATTATGTATATACCGTTCCTCCTGCATGTATCCCTGCAAGCCAGAAGAGGGCACTGGTCTCATTATAGATGGTTGTGAGAGACCATGTGGGTGCTGGGAATTGAACTCAGGACCTCTGGAAGAGCAGCCAGTGCTCTTAACCTCTGAGCCATCTCTCCAGCCCCGCAAAAAAATATTTAAAGGTTGATACGCACCATGTCATTCATCTTAATATTTCTTTGATGGTAAAGCCCAAATGTTTTACAACACGTCATAAGGTCCCTGCTTGGTCAACTTCATTTCATCCCTACTCTCTACACTAAAGCTAATTGACCTTATTTAAACTTAAATGTTGTCTATCCTGTTAATTACTAAACTCAGCTTTATCTCAGACTTGTTCTCTCCAACCATAGTCTATTTTCATAACGGTACTTTTTAACCACTTAAATACTGATTGCTTTTTTTTTCTCTCTTGAACAACAGAAAGTAGAAGCTCCACAAAGATCTAGGGTGTTCTGCCCCACAATCTGTCAGGATAATAATACCACATACAAAATACACTCAGATGTTATTTGGAAGAAACATCTTGGCAGCCTGGCCTGTAAGTCTTACTCCTCCTCCCTCAAACTCTAAGTGCAGGTTTTTGTGTGTGCACCACCATGCCCAGTTCCAAAGCTGTGCTTATTTCAATGCCTTTCTTCTCTCTAATATTTCATTTTTGTCTTTGATTTAAAACAGTTCTCCAGGATACCAGATCTTATTCTGTTCTAAGAAAATGTTGTCCAGAAAGGCAAAAGGCATTTAACTCCTCTCCCTCGGAAATTTTTTTTTAATTTAAAAAAGAACAAAACTACAGAACCAATGATCTACCATGTTATGATTTAATTGGTTTACATAAACTCATTTGCAGAAAGTCCAAGACTGGGCTGAGGAGATGGCTTACCAGGTAAAATTGCTTACTGAAAAAGCCTAATGACCTAGTTTGATCCTGGAAACTATAGAAAAATAGAAGGAGGTACTCCAGAGAGTTATCCTATGACTGTCACATGCACACACACCCCTATACAATAGTAAAATAACAACAAATCACAGCCCTCTAAAGACCTCTAGCACTCCACCTGCCATACAAATCCCATGACCTAAATTTGATATCTGAAATGGTAGAAGAACAGAGCCAACTTTATAAATCTGTCCTGGCATAACACACACTATATGCCATGTATTCCTACACATATATATCATATGAATTTTTAATGTAAATTCAATTATTGGGTTGAGAATGGACATAGCTCAATTGGTAGAGTGCTTGCCTAGCATGCATGAAGCCCTGAGTTCAATCCCTGGTACTGTAGAAATCAGGCATAGTGATACCTATTTGTGATCCCAGCACTTGGGAAGCTGAGGCAGGTGGATCTCTGTGACTTCAAGGCCAGCCTGGTCTACAGAGCAAGTTCCAAGGCAAGGCTTCAAAAGCTATAGAGAAACCCTGCCTTAAAAAAAACAAATCAAAGTAAAATTAAATTAAAGGGGTTGAAAAGCCCTCAGAAAGAGCAGACTTTAGATCAAAGTTCACTTTTCCTTCAGGGGCAATGAAATAAACTAACAAATCTTCCAAGGGTGTCTATTACAAGCTGGGTATTACAAGGATCCAACTTGTTCCTGTCAATAGTATCAAGGTTCACTTTTCCTTCAGGGACAATGAAATAAACTAACAAATCTTCCAAGGGTATCTATTACAAGCTGGGTATTACAAGGATCCAACTTGTTCCTGTCAATAGTACTCTGCTGGTAATGGAGAGTGGGAGTTCCCTGATTATGTGACAAAATAAATGAAATGTCAGAACTGGAAAGACCCTGAAATAATTGAGTGAAGCTTTACAAACAAAAATGAATTAACTGCTCAGAATAAACAACAAAATTATTTTGTAAGTTCTTTTTTAATACCTGATGGAACAATTCCATGTCTATTTCAGCTTCTGATTTCCAAGAGTTCTCATCTGATAGAAACAAAAACAGTGATGTAAAAATTTTTTGATCTCTTTTACTCTGTAGATTTAACTGTATTTTTATAACAAGTGAAACATGGAACACTATCTACCACTTATATGCCTACTTACCAGAAATATTTTCTTGGAAAATAACTTTAGTTCCTTTCAGAAAGTTCTTCCCAATTAAAAATACTTCTTCCTCTCCTTTCACTGAACAGCTATGCAAGCTTTTCTTTAAGATCTCAGGAACTCCTGCTGGCTGAGCTGTGGATATACATACATTCATAAACATTTCATAAAAAGAGCCACCAATACTTAATTCTATCTATATCTCATATCACAAACACAGTTTTATGGGTTGTTTCTGTTGATCACGATTTTTTATTGCATTTAATTTATTTTAGACTGTGTATCTATCTGTGTATCTCTCTGTGTATGCATACACATATACATGCCACGGTGGGTGGGTAGGAATCAGTTCTTTACTTCAACTATGTGATATGGGAAGAAAAAGCAAAATTAATAGACTATTTTATTGCTACTAATCTCACAATCCTTTGGTTTTATTTTGACTCTTTAACAGGTATAAATATTATCCCAAAATTTATGATATATATATATATATATGTATGTATGTATGTATTAAACTTGTTGTCATGATATTAATGGTCATATAGAGTACTAATTCTAAAAAAAGTTTCATCTATTTTCCTGTACATGACTTTGGGTTTGAGTCTCTATCAGTTTTCTGGAGTAAACCATAAGCACACCTAACAGAGACCTTTAAAAATCTCCAAAAGGAGGATGGGGCCCCACAAAGATGATTCCACCAGGACTGTAACACCACCTAAAGATCAGCTTTGGACTACAAACTGCTCATAACAATTTTGAGGTGACCAGCTGAGATTCAGCCACACAGACTACTGTAGCCAGGAATTGAGAGACAGCCTTGAACTTTCCCATTACACAGAGACTGGACAAAAAAAATGATACAGCTACCTCTCCCAAGATTTGACAATTAATGGAAATTTTTTCTTTTCAGGATCCTCTAAAGATGTTGTCATTACTAGCAGGAAGTAAATTTAAGAACTAGATACAGGGCTGGAGAGATGGCTCAGAGGTTAAGAACACTGACTACTCTTGCAGAGGTCCCGAGTTCAATTCCCAGCAACCACATGGTGGCTCACAACCATCTACAATGAGATCTGGTGCCCTCTTCTGGCCTGCAGACATACATGCAGACAGAGTACTATATACATAATAAATAAATCATAAATCTTAAAAAAAAAGAACTGGATACAAAACATGGGGTGGATGGTTTTTGTTTGTTCAATGGGCTATGGATATTTGTCATCATTTAGAGTGATTGGTTACAAGTTGTTATTGGTAATAGTCAGGAAAACAGCTAAACAAAGGAGATTACATTCAGAGAAAAAAAGAGGGATACAGATATGATAGGATAAAAGGTAGATTATTTAATCTACTTTTAAAAAGCAACTGCTAGTTTAAATATTTTACATTGGATTGTATATTATATACAAACTTTGTATACAATTTGTATACAAATTTGAGCTTAATTTTGTTTGAACATACTGTACATACATTTCTACTCTTGTACAAGGTATTGTACCTATACTGCTCATTTAACAATGTAAGGCAAATTTCTAGTCCTTGAAAGTTATAATTACCAAATGTTTAAGATAATAAGGAAATTCAGGTTAGTAATTAGTCACCTATTGAATCAAACTTGTAGTCATATTAGGTATATCTTTAAGGTATATTTAAGATATATTTTAGATAGGTCATCATTAAACACTTCAGAGATCTAGAGAATATGGCATTTAAGATGTTTTAATAACATAGGTTCCTTTTTTCCTTTTTTTTAATGACAATAAGATATGTCTGTTCCTGGCAGCACCAATCTACATCAGAAAAGATGATAGGCACTGAACAAACTCCACGAGGAATTAACTTTCTTTGTGGCAAAAGTAACCTACTGGGCAAGCATTGTCAAACACTGCCAAGACAAGGCAGGACAATCCTTCAAAAATCCTGCTTTGCAATAGTCTGTCGATTATTATAGGCTTGTAGGCCAAAGATGGATACCCCAATGTTACAGAGGAACTTTGGGTGACTGTCCAGGAAGCCAGCTGTTTCTGTCATTTTTCACATTTTTTGGAAGTCACTTGCTTTCACTTCCTGCTTACTCAATTAGTATTACTTCCTTCTTGGATCTCTGAGGGAGTTGAAGACTAGTTATAGTTTTCCTTGTTTACTAGACTCAGAAAAAGAAAATCACTAAAAAGGTGTAAAGTGTATACGGTTGAGAGACATTAAAAGAAAATTTTGATAATGCAAATTAGAATAGAAGGTGAATAATGTACAATCTTTTGAATCATCAAGAAAGGATAGATATGGAATATTTTCTTTGAATTTATCAAATGTGAATGGACTAGATATTGTGATGTATTTGTTACCTGTATATATTGTATATCATTATTATACTTATTGTATTAGTTTCTTATTAGTTATAACCTTTTTAAATTTTAAACAAAAAAGGGGAAATGTGGTGATATTTTGTTTATGATCTAACAAATAAATAAAGCTTGTCTAAAGATCAGAGTACAGAGCTAGCCATAGTAGCTAGCCATAGAGGCCAAGCAGTGGTGGCTCACATGTTTAATCCCAGAATTTGAGAGTCACACACCTTTAATCCCAGTACTAAGGAGGCGGAGACAGGAGTGATATGGCTGGGTGGAGAGAGGAATGTAAGGTGGGAAAAAACAAGAGCTTGGGCAGTCTGAATATTCGTAGAAAGATTGCAGTCTGAGCAGCAGTTAGTCTGAAGCAGTCAGTCTGAAGCAGTATGAGGATTCAACCGGAGGACAGGATTGCCCCTTCAGTCTGAGCATTCTAGAGGTAAGAACTCTCTAGTGGCTGGCCATTTTGCTTCTCTGATCTTTCACCCCTGGAGAGCTGACTCTGAGTTTTTATTATTAGTACCAATTAGAATTTGTGCTACAACTATGTGGGTCCAGAGCATCAAACTCAAGTTGGCAGGTACAATTCCCACATGGCCATTCACAATCTATTATAATTCCAATTCCAGGGGCTCTGATGTCTTCTTCTGGCCTCCCTGGGCTACAGGTGCAATGTGGTAAACAGATATATATGTAGGAAAAACCACCCACTCACATTAAATTAAATACATTTTTAAAATTTACTTATAGTGGTCCTCCTCCATGTATGCCTGCAGGTTAGAAGGCACCAGATCACATTATAGATGGTTGTGAGCCACCATGTGGTTGCTGGGAATTGAACTCAAAACCTCTGGAAGCACAGTCAATGCTCTTAACTTCTGAGCCACCTCACCAGCCCCTAATTTTTAAAAAATTAATGGTTTGGATTGGTAAGATGACTCTGAAAATTTGATTAGAGTCCCTGGATTTCCTATAGCTCAGGTTGTCATTAACCTCACCATGGAACAAAGGATAACTTGCAGTCTGAGACAGATCTTGTCTTTCAGAACAGGCTAGCCTACAATCATAGCAGTCTTCTTGCTTCCTGCTTCTACTCCTAGTTACTAGGATTACAGTTTGTACCAACATATAAAGCTTGCAACTTTTTTGGTCTAGACAATGACTTGCTATTTTCTATAGCCTGGATTTTAACTACTGGGTTCAAGCTGTCTTCCTGCCTCAGCTTTCCCCGTTTCCCTCCCCGACCCCTCCGAGTGAGGAGGCCCCTGCCCTGTCGGTGGGACGGGGGTATATCGAGTAATGCTCACGCCCGAGACACCCACCCGAGCCAGCCCAGCCGCCACACACCCCGGCTTGGCCAAGGCCGGGATGGAGACAGCGGCCACAGGCCGGGAGGCGGTGAGGAAAGAAGCCTCCTTCGTCGGGAGGCCAGAGGCGGCGGGACTGACTCCCGGTGCGTGCGGTCGGTCTCCAGACTAGGAGCATAAGCATTTGCCACTATGTTCTTTTGACTACAGTTTTAAATATTGCAAGTATGACATGTTCCTAGGGTGAAGAATAAAATATTAAAATTTACAGATACCATTGATAGAACTTAGGAATTCTTCACATATCTAGCATCTCTGTATTTTCTTACTTACTACACAAAATGGGGGAAGAAGGTGTCTGTAATGTCAGAGTGGATCCATCCTTCCTTATGATATTAACTCGAAAAACCAATCTGGCACGAGTGCTCTTTTTCTTAGAACCAGCAATTCCTATTCTGGCTTCAACATCAGCATTCCTCAGCTTCAGTATTCCTACGCAGTCCACCCTAAAAACAGAAAAAAATGTAACAAGTGACACTGTTACTGTCTAAATAAAACAACTTTTTGTTTGTTTTAGTCCACCACCATTCTAGAGGAACCCTTTTTGTCCTTTTGGTTGTGAGCCTAGCTAGCCTTTAGTGGCTGAGCCCCATCTACAGCCCTGTAAGAACCTTTTTAAAAGAACAGTTTGTTATATTTGAAAAAATTTTAATAAGACCCTCAAAATCAGCTAGGCATGGTAACCCACACCTTTAATCCCAGCACTCAGGAGGCAAAGGTAGATGGACCTCTTGAGTTTGAGGTCAGCCTGGTCGACAGAGCTAGTTCCAGTACAGCCAAGGCTCTGGAACTACAAATATTTTCCATATTATCATAAAAATACAATATAGAATAAAAACTTTAGCTAGAAAGATGGCTCAGAGGTTAAGAGCACTTGCTGCTCCTCTTGCAGAGGACTTGGTTTGGTCCCCAGCATCCCTGTAGGTTGCCTCACAGTTGCCTGTCACTCTAGTTCCAGGAGATCCAATATCCTTTTCTTGTCTCTGTGGGCAATTGCATACATATAATGCACAAAACCTCTCTCTCTCTCTCTCTCTCTCTCTCTCTCTCTCTCTCTCTCTCACACACACACACACACACACACACACACACAAATCTATTTTTAAAATTTGCCAAGAGCCAGGCGTGGTGGTGCACACATTCAATCTTAGAAGGCAGAGGGAGGCCCAGACTGGTGTACACAGTAGTTCCAGGACAGTCAGGGCTATGTAGAGAGATTCTGTCTCCAAAAAGAATAAAAACAAAACTAAAAAAACAAAAAACAAAAACACATACACACACAGTAAATAAATAAATAAAATATAATTTTTTTTCAGGCATAGTGGCACACACCTTTAATCTCAGCACTCAGGTGGCAGATCTCTGTGAGTTTGAGGCCAGCCTGGTCTATATAGAGGGTTCCAGCCCAGTCATAGGGACATATTACAACCTTGCCAAAAAATAAAAAGATAAAAGAGAAAGAAAAAAATGTATTAAGTACTTACGCCAGTGTCATGTTGTTGCTAGGATCAAGACCAACTTCTATAACAGTGGTACCTTCGATGTCTACTTCTTTGCAGGGAGTCGTATTTCGTCCAGTTACCCTACAGGCTTGATAAAATCCATGCGGTTTCACTCGACCAGAATCATTGCCCACAAACACCTGCAACACTACTGGTTCATTATGACCTTCCAGCTGGAATCAGATAAGCATAAGCACTAGTTAGCATTTCAAACAAGCTCATTATAAACTAAACATTCAAAATCAAATCCTGGCTAGGTAGTGGCAGCACATACCTTTACTCTCAGTACTCTGGGAGGCACAGGCAGATCTCTGTTAGTTCAAGATCAGCCTGGCCTATGGAGTAAGTTTCAGACAGCCAGGGCTATACAGAGAAACCCTGTCTCAAAAAGCAAATCAAATCCTATACTTAAAACTATATGAACATAAAGGAAAAGTGGTAAAACTTTTCCGTGTGTGTGTGTGTGTGTGTGTGTGTGTGTGTGTGTGTGTGTGTGTGTGTGTGTGTCTATATAGACAGTACTGTCTCAAAAAAATAAAGTTTTGTAGGGGGGGGAGAGGGGGAGTGGGGGGGTGGAATCTGGAGAGATGGCTCAATGATTATAAACTAAGAAAAATAATGTACTAGTTCTACAATAACTTACATTTTAATTAGAGGCCTAAACTATAATGTTTGTATAAACAGATGGGAATATATACACAATTGTTCAGACAGTATACAGATTACTTAGGATCTACTACCACAACTAAATTGTTTTAATGGCAACATCTTCATCATCAAATGAGAATATATAAGATAAATTTTTACTTAAGCAGTTTAAGACAAATAACAGGAAAATGAAGTTCATTTTCAAAGATTGGATCATGAAATCCTGGACTAGAACATCTACAGTCAGATACATGATTACTACAGACCTCTAGCAAAACTCTCATAAATAAATGATAGCTCATATATAGAACATCATTATGTTTTATAGTTATAACACTGAAATTACTAATAAGGAATGCCAAGAAAAAAAATCACAAAAATGGCACATCTTTCTATCCCATTATATTAACATCTTTAAAGAAATAATTAGCCATTCTGATCTTCTTTTACAGATGGGTTATGTAATAAATTAGCGGAGAACATATGAAGGTTTTTTTGTTTTGTTTTTTCAAGTGCCTGTTGAGTCAGTGTAAATTCAGTTCATTTCCTATCATAGTGAGGCAATTAATAATAGAATACACTAGAATAATACCGTAATAAATGTAACTGTGTAAGTACTTAGACCAAGCAGAATTTAAAGACAGATAATCAAATTAAGAATACTGACAAAACTACTCAAATATCCAGCTAACCACATAAAGCAAAACCTGAATTTCTCTCTTATCTGCTACATGTTCTGGACTTGAGAGATTGGTTGCAGACAGATTAGAGAGGTAACACTGGTATAAATAAATGATCATAGACAACTTTCCCAATCCTGAGCTTCAATCGTTTCATTCAAATATGAAATGAATGACAGTTTATGTTTTCAATGACAATATTCTTTACAATAAATATATAAAGTTATTAAATTTTGCCAGGCAGTGGTGGCACAACCTTTAATCCCAACACTCTGGAGGCAGACGCAGGTGGATCTCTGTGAGCTCAAAACCAGCCTGGTCTACAAGAGCTAATTCCAAGACAGCCTCAAAGCCACAGAGAAACCCTGTCTCAAAAAACCAAAAAAAAAAAAAAAAAAAAAAAGTTATTAAATTTATTTCAAGTCAAAGTTCCAGGAGGTATAGGTAATTCTAATAACTTTTAAAAACCTTATTTTCCATATTCTATTGTTTTGAGACAGGTAGTCCTGGCCATCCTGAAGCTCTCTATGGAGATCATGTTGGCCTCCAACTCATGGATATCTGCCTGTCTCTGCCTCTTAAATGCTGGAATAAAAAAACATGAGTTACTAGGGTCTGGAGAGGTGGCTCAGAGGTTAATTGTTGTGGAATATTAGTTTGATATGTGTTACATTTGTTTATGTTGAGGAATATTTGTTTAATGATGCAAAGATGTTTTGTATTGTTTTATGTTGCATTTGTTTAACTATGCCTGCCTAAAACACCTGATTGGTCTAATAAAGAGCTGAATGGCCAACTGCTAGGCAGTTGAGAGATAGGTGGGGGCTGCCAGGCAGGGAGAATATATAAAATAGGAGAAGAGAAGAGTGAGGAACAAGAGGAGGAGGATACTAGAGACCAGCTACCCAGCCAGTAACAGAGTAAGAAAGAAAGAGAGGTATATAGAATAGAGAAGGGTAGAAGCCCAGAGGCAACAAGTAGACTGAATAATTTAAGAAAAGTTGGCTAGAAACAAGTCAAGCTAAGGCTGGACATTCATAAGTAAGTATAAGACTCCACATATTTATTTTGGGAGCTGGGTGGTGAGGCTCCAAAGGGGAAAGAGTTAAAAAAAAAAAAAAAAAAGCAAACATACAAACAAACCCTACAATTAAGAGCACTGGCTACTCGGCTGCTGACTGTAATAGGATCTGATGCCCTCTTCTGGCAAGCAATTGTACATATGGACAGAATAGTCATATTATGGATGGGTGGAAGGAAGGAAGGAAGGAAGGAAGGAAGGAAGGAAGGAAGGAAGGAAGGAAGGAAGGAAGGAAGGAAGGAAGGAAGGAAAAAAGCATGTACTACCATGCCTGGCTAAGTTCTTAGTAATTTCTACCATGTTTCTTTGCATTCACCTCAAAATTTCTTCTTAAAACATTTCGGGTGAATCTACTATCATTACCAAACGGAGGAGGAAGATAACTGAAGAGCTGCAGATTATTTTTTCTTTTCAGAACATACTCTCAACTTTCTAACTAAAATTTAACCAGGCAGGCTGGCTCTCACCTATAATTCAAGCACTCAGGAGACCGAGGCAGGAGGCTTGCCATGAATTTCAAGGTTGGCCTAGACTATACATATTGAGTTACTGGCTAGCCTGGGTTATAGTGAAACGGATCTCAAAAAAAAAAAAACAAAAACAAAAAACCAAAAACCAACCAGCTAAGCAAACAACAACTCAAATATTGTCTAAGTATTATTTGGCTTATGGCCCAATTAGACATTTGTTTTCTATTATACTGAGCTAATAATTCTATCCTTCTATTCCAGGAAGCTTTTTCTGAGATTAAAATAATTAATAAAATTGAAGGAACTTCATCACATACATATGTAATATTTTTACATTTAATTGATGCTGTGTGTGGAGAGCATGTATATAGGCATGTGTGTTTCATGGTTTAGGTGTGTGGAGGTCAGGACAACTATATAGAGCCAGTTCTCTTCAGGTTTTGGGAATAAACTTTTACCCATGAAGTCATCTCATGGCCAGTCTTTACACATTACTAAATAAAATGAGTACCTTCACTGTCGGAAAGCCTTGCTGTGTTCTATCTTTTACTGAGCCTCGGCTGCCCTCTGTCAGATACCGAGCTCGGTGCTGGGTTTCAGGCTGTACAACTATCTTCAGCTCCTTCCCCTCACTTTTAACCGGATACTGTCCACATAACATAGGGCTCTTCTTTACTCCAGTTCCCTTTTGGTTGTCCAATGTTCTGAGAAACCAAAGCACAGCATGGAAGAAAATATCAAAAACAGTTTCCTACAAAAGCTACTTAGATAAAGGAAGAAACAGAAAGGCAATAACATTGAAAATAATTGCTTAGATTATTGATAAAATAGAATACAGCCTAAAGGAAGAAACATCCTATATAACCAAAGTATCTTTACAATATTTTGAACCATGTATACTATATGCCATGAAAAAGAAAGCTGGACAGGGAGCAGGAAAAAAAAATAGTTGAGTGGTAAAAGGAAAACAATGCAAGTTTTCACACTGAAATTCAGTTAAAATGTAAAAATCACACGTGAAACTATACAAAGCTTAAAAGACCATGATTACTTTTTAATCAGACTTGCAAAGCAAAGGAAAAAAGGAATGACAACAACTACTAAAACTCGCACAAAAAAGGCCTAAAAGTTTCAACAATGGAGGTATATGTAGTATATCCTTTTGGATCTCTTTCTCAGTAAATCAAAATGAGAAGCTTATATAATAAAATAAAAATCAGTAATTCAATTTTTACTGGGGAATGAGGTTTACTTTAAATAACAAATGTGATTTTTTTTCAGATTTTTATCTGTAACTGGTTCAATGATAAAAGCTCAACAAAAAATCTTGTATTTTGAACAAGATAATTTTGCTTGTTTTCTTTGTTTTTTTTAATCGTGGAAGTTTTGTAGTTTTTTTGGAGACAGGGTCTCAAACACCCAGGGCTGTCTTCAAGCTGCTATATAGCTGAAGATGGCCTTACAGTATAGATCCTCCTGCAACTCCACCTACCTCAACACATGCCTGGCTCTAAGTCTGTTTTAATCATTCATCTGTTTGTAATATCCAAAATTGTGAATAGGACTTCCATAAAGTAACTAATGGAATGCAAATATCTAATGAAATAGATTTAAAATCATCCATGTATGTTCTTGAAAAGTCAGGGTCTATCAAGCTTTTTTACTCACAACCAAGTAACTGGATCCCCGGAAGAATATTACGATTTTAAAAACAAAAGAACAGCTTTAAACCTGGCCCTAAAATTTACCCATCCAGGTATAACCAAACTGTTGCCTTAATCATTAAGAACAAAGGAAAAGAAGGCAGTCACTCAATAAAAAAGACTACCTAGGAAAGGGGCAAAAGTATGGAGGAAAGAATAACACTGATAAAGAAATCAGTAGTACTGACAGGGCAAGCTCACATGAGATGTTTGCTGATGAAGGCAAACAGGAAAAAGAAATGGACAAGGAAAGCAAAGAGGAAAAGGAGTTTTTGTAATAATAAGATGGGCAAGACCAGACCATAATTGGACAAGAAATGCCATTCACATTAAGTCTGAAACAATTATGTCAAAGATTACCTGTATGTGTAAGTCATTTTAAAAGCCTTAGAGGAATGAATCTATGAACAAAAGTACCAGGAACAATGGGACAAGAAACATTGTTGTGGGTTTTTGTTGTTGTTTGGTTGTTTTTTTTTTTTAAAGCATTCTCAGTCAATTCAAATGTATGAAGAGTATACAATTTCTTAAAAAGAGATTCAATAATAATCTATTTGTATTCATCTTATTACCAAAGGGGGAGAAAGGTATATTGAAAGTATATAAAAATATCTCCCTAGATATATATATACATAGAACTAAAAGAAATTATAGCATAATGATAACAACAGTGTACATGAGTGACTAGATTATGGATTATTTTCCTATTTTCTTATATCTTTCAAGTATCTATAGTTCATATATATTAGTCATAATAAAAAAATTAAAAATTTTAGATTGAAGTACTAAGAAAATATGAATGATATGACAACTAATTTTGTCAGGTATGTTTTTATATTTATTTATATTAGTCAAGCTAGTATTCTGAAAGTGACTGGAAATGATTTCTTTAAATAACAAGTATCTTCTTTGGAATGAGTATTTCTTGAATGAGTTTTATATATGCTAATATATATTTACATACACACACATTAAAAAGATCACAAGGAATTTAACAATTTCTCAAATACTGAAAATGTCTCTGCTTTGCTTTTTTATTTATTTATTTTTTTTCGGAGAGGACTCTTACCACACAGCCCAAACTGGCCATGAACTTACTCAGTACAGTCCAGGTTGGTCTCCCTCTCACAAGCTCATTGCCCTAGCCTCCCACGTGCTGGGCTTACATGAATTTACCATCAACTATGTCTGGTCCTAAAACTATATTCTAAAATTCCCTTTATTCTCTAGGTTTAAATGAAAAGCATGTATATTTACATCTATAGACATGTAAAACAATGAAAACATCAACTAATTCTTAGAAAAGTAGTAATTCAATTTATAAATTGTTAAGGTAAAACAGCTTTAGAAAAATGAAGCAAGCAGCAATTCATTACATGGGAATTGAGTGATTTTTGCAAGGCTGGGCATCAAAGCCAGGACTTCACTCATGTTAGGAAGGGACTCCATTACTGGAGTCTGACATCTAAAGGACAACTACCATAGACAATTATTATGATGTGGCATATTATACTTAGAAGTCTTAGAATGACACTGGGGTTCTTTTGTGCTAAATATTCCTTCAGGTTGTCTATGTCATAAAAATAATTTTCACTACAAAAAAGGTCTAACAACTTTTCATATCCACATGATATCATATCTAAACTTCAAGAACTTTAGAAGAAACAGGGCTGCTGATTCTCAGGTCATTAGCTGAAGAACTTAAGAATGATACGGTCAGAAAAGAAAAGTTTCCTTAATAAGCTCTTCTGGAATCATAAAGATAGATGAACTGCTATATGCAACACACTTTAAAGTTCACTTAACAAATATTTAGCATTTTATAAACTTCAAATTGTGTCACCTCATATTGAAGACTATATTACTTATCTCTCAAAACATTTCAAAACTTCATGTTTCTAACATCTTTCTCATCATTGGAAAAAAATAGGTAATTAACTAAAATTATGAATTAAGAATGATTGTTCATGTATTTTACATTTAGTTTCATCCTTTCTTCAATAAATTTCTTATAAATTCAAATTTTAAACTTCATCATTTTCATATACTATTGTCAAATAATTTTCCATTACCTAAGAAGATGGGCATTTCTTCTGCTGCTTGATGGAGTTTCTGCTTCATGAATTATTTCATGAAAGTTTTGTCTTGACCAATTTCATTATACTTTCCCTGGTAACCTCAAAGCATTTCTAAGATACATCTATCATACAAAGGCAGAAGCAGAAAAGATGTAGGTCAAGAAATCTCTTCAATCAGCAACAGTAAATCACTGTTTGACTCTGACTATCCCTAAGTCAAAACTTTCCTGTTCTTAACTGGAAACTTTAATAACTATTTCAGTATAAATAGGAAAATATCTTTCTCTGAAATTTTATAAAGACCTTTTCCACTGCAGCCCAAATAAGAACACATATATTTACTGACATTCACACACCTTTCAGATCTGGGCTACCAGTCACACTTCCTACATGACTTGGGGTGTTCATCATCTTTCAGAGCCTTAACCTTTTTTATAGCTGAATAAATACTCCCTCCTCTCCAAGTTCTGGACTATTAGACTGTGGCATATTAGGAAAAGCTGTGTATCTTGTTTTCTTTTGGAAATTGTCTGACCTAGATTTTTTGAATCTATAGAGTATTTAAATTATTTAGCTATATCATTCTAAAAGAGTTTTTAATAAAAGTATAAAGGAAAAGAGTAGGCTAATTTTTTTCAAATAAATTTTCAGGTTAGAATAAAAGGAAATGAGTTTCATTACGGGTTTTCAAACATGTGAGTAAGTATAGACTTAAATGATGGGTACTACTTTTAAAATGTACATAGGGAATTATTTGTGGACACATTTAATTATTATTATGACAAATATAATACTGAGTTGGATTTTTAATGTAACAGATCAAAGATATCATCATGGAGTACACCAATCTAAGCTTTCAGACCATTTTTTTCTTTTTTTTCGATAAGTGGGAACAGCAAGTGATCCTGGGTCTCCTAAAGAATCATATTCTGCCTCCTTAAAAACTAATTCTCAGCCGGGCGGTGGTGGCGCACGCCTTTAATCCCAGCACTCGGGAGGCAGAGGCTGGCGGATCTCTGTGAGTTCGAGGCTGGGCTGGACCGATAGCCTCCAAAACAATACAGAGAAACCCTGTCTTGAAAAACCAAAAAAAAAAAAAAAAAAAAAACTAATTCTCAAAATCTAGCGAGTTAAATTTTATTGAATATACTGTAGAAAATTCACTTTCAAAAGTCTAGCAACTAAATATTACAATTAAAATACTAAAGGAATCCTAAAGTAAATCATGTTAATCTGTATTATAGCTTGGAATATTCTGTAATATAGCCATTGAGATTTGGTGAGTAATGTACCAATGGCACATATGGAAGAGAAAGCTCAAATATGCACCATGATCCTGTTTCATCATCCTTCAAGTAAGAAACAGAATGGGGGGGGGAAAAAAAACGTTTTTTTTTTTTTAAAAGTCCTGAACTGGAACTATGCATCAAAGGGGAAAAAAATTCAAACAGAGGAACCTAGATGAGAATTGGGTCATCTTTGTTTTTTTCTTGTTTTCATCAAGTAAAGATGAAAAACAAAAATAAAACACAAAATTCTTTGAAAAATATAATGGAATGAACCATATGAAATAAACTGGTACAAGAACAAATTAGATTCTGGAGAATATTTAGGTGTTTTAGCTAGCATCATCATACTGTTACTTATTTCTGCAGGTAAAGATATTTTTAGATCCTTTTAAAATAAGTACATTTGAAGTTTAAAAGTTATTTCAAAACAGATTATCTATTACACCTAAACATACCCATAAAATTCCTTTGTTATAATCTACTGCTATTTTAAAATTATTTTTCTAGTAAAAGTTGATTATTTTAAGTTGAAAATTTCATTTACTTCAAGGATAAAATTAGCATTTTGCTTTATATGCAAAATTTGAACTGAGAATTAAGAAAATTTGGGAATGATTTACTTTTTTGTTTTGCATAATGGTGATAGAACTTTAAAAAATGTGGATACCAACCCATTTCCAGCTTTTGAGTTGCCTTTGTTGTCCGTGGTAAGCTGAGAAAGCACATAGTGAGGTGCTTTGGCACTGTCGGCATCAAATATATCCATATTAGATTCTTCACAATCTCGTCGTTTGACCCCCGGCCTCTGCTTTGGATTTCGTTTTCGTGATTTACGAGGTACCTCAGTGTTATCATTGTAGGAACTGGTGCTCATGTTACTGAAGTTGGAGGGGGAATCCTCCATCCACATACTGCAGCTCTGCTCAGACTCCAATCCACACCCCTCATCCTGGCAGGACATCCGACTGTTATCCAGCAAGTCCTCAGGTGGTGGTGAGATGTACAAAACTGTGTGCCTCTTCGGGGTTGATGGATGCTGCTGAACTGTGTTACCGGTTAACTGCTTTTCACTTACCCCTCTGTTACTTACCCCCACGGCTGAGGAGCAGCTCTCCACTTGCATAGCCTTGCTGTCGGTGACTGAGGTAGAATAAATGGTAGGGCTGGAAGAGGTGGTAAAGGAGCTGCAAGCACCGCCCATGGAGGAGGAGGAGGGAGCTGAAGAAGCATCTGCAGTGTACAATCCAAGAGTAAATACACTATACATGTTTTCACCTATGCTGGCTAGCAGTCCCAATGAAAATGTGATTTGTAAACTGATTGTTTTCCCCAAAACGAATAATTGGAATTTGGTTAAGTTTTAGAATATAAATGCTTTAAGCAATACAAAGCCTAAGAAATACAATTTTTTAAATGCCCAAATAGCATTTACACTTGTTATAATTGATAATTTTTTAAAAATCTAATTTAATGTTTTAAGCTGTAAAGCAAGAATAAAGCTTTTATTGCCTCAGCTGAATGTTCTGTTGAATTTTAATCATTTAAAGTAATACAGAAAACCCCAATATGAAATATGTTTGTGGTCCACATTCAATGCCAATTAAATAATTCATTATAGAATTTGAAAAGTGGGACTGTGCTTAGCCACAAAATATTAAAATAAGTTTCTAACCTATGAAGCAGAGAACTACAGGTCATTTTTAATGCAGACACTCCCTGCTTCAGAGGCAAATCCTGGAATAAAAATATGAGAAAATAAATGAGAAAAGAGCTGCTGATTATTCCAGATACCAATTATAAAATGAAAAATAAATAGAGGAAAAAAAATAATCAACTGAACTGGAGGCAAAATGGAACTGGTACCATCACTATAACTGATTGTAAAATCCATGAGAATAAAGGTGAGAAAGGTTTAATGGGAACATGCTTGGTTGTAGAAATAAACAGGTTGGCCACTGAGAATCTCAAAGTTGAAAATAGCATATCAAAACCATGAGTAACTAAAACAACAACAACAAATCATCTAGGAATGAATAAAAAAGCAGAAAAGGGTGGCTACTAGAACTATAGAATCTCATGTGCTCAAAAATTAGCCCCTTGCCCATTAGCTCTCTTTCAAAAAGGCCTGCTAATTGTATATGGTTGTGAATAGTAAATCTTACTATCTAAAGCCTAACAAAAAATTAAGCATGAAAATTTCTAGAACACTAGAATTCCTATAAAATATCTTAAATCCTTTATAAATTATGCAAAAAAACAGAATTTAAGTAAATCTCTGCAGAACAGAATGTGCAGCAACTAGTAGTAGCGCTGGGAACACTGCTACTCTAGCCCTTAAAAGCACAAACTTGGTCACATTACAGTTCCCTGTAACTTCACAAATACTATTGTACTGTATACAAGATATAATTGTATACATAAATAAAAATTGGTAATGTGTTTAAATTTAATTTGTGTCTATAACCATTTATGCCACAGTTTTAAAACTGCACAGTGAAAATTTAAATGTGATGTGCCATTTAAATGTGACATACGTTATTGAAATTACAATATTCATTATCAATTATAGAGCTAAAATGTAAGAAAGTCAGTTTAGACAAAAAAAAAAGCTGTGCTAGTAAATTAACTGAGCCCACATGAAAGCATGTATCGAAACACCCCAAATTTTTCATTGTCAAGGTTGAAGAGCACAGTCGTGTTAGCCATCCGAAATGTGATCTATGTAATGCCACTCTCAAAATTTTTCTCCCAACTACCGTAAGTCAAAGAACCTGAAGGAGTAGATGATACCAGTTCCACTTTTTAGTTTGTATCCTTGTCAAATGCAGTAGCTGAAATTAGAAAATTCAGTCACTTTTAAACTGCATTCCAATTTAAAGAAAAATTTATCAATTTTGTTTCATGCATTAATGCAATGTTTTCTTAGTAAATGAATATTCTTAAAGATCTGTAAAAACTACAAAATCTAGATGCTAATGTCAATGACAGTTTAGGAGCTGATTTGTAGCCACTTTGGGTTTAAATATAGTTTTTTCTTTTCCTTTTTTCCTTTGTAAAGTACTAACATTTATTTTGCACAAAATAGGAAAGATATATACCTAATGTTCCTCCATCTGTTCCAACTATTGGCTATAGTGAAACTAAAATTTGTGCTTGTGTGTGTCTATATTCTTGATTTGCAGAGACAGCATGCACTATTTGCAGTGGGTCACACAAAACATGCAGCATGAATGCTGTGAATTTGTATTTCCAAAGCACTTCTACCCATCCTTTCTAACTGCCACACACACAAGAATGCACAATACTAGCCTCTCAGGGATCCCTGCAAGGACAAAGGAAAAGTGTATGTGCAAAGCCATAATGAAGTCAACAGCAAATTTTACAGTTGTGATATTCTGATATATTTTCCTGACTTACAGATCCTGGCAACTTCCTAAGTTGAGTAGAGCAGTAAGCATCTGTGGTTAAATATTTGGCCTTCCACTTCAGAATGATAAAGGTGAAAACATGGGTTTCATTTGCTTGGTAGTTTTTTTTTTTTTTTTTTTTTTTTGGACAGAATCTCTCTGATTTTTTTTCTTTTTTGGTTTTAATTTATAATAAGCACCTTTCAACCACATGATATGATAGTAATAAGATGATTTGGGGGAAGTTACTAAATAACACAACATGGGAGGAGGGGCTGGTATCCACAAGAATAAACTGTGGATAAACTATGTCCTCAAAGGGTTAGTGCTCATAGCCCCACCTTCCCACTTCCAGGGAGCAGGGGACCTGGAGGTTAAGGTAATAACAGGCAAAAATGTAGTCAATCATATCTATATAGTCTTTTCAATTCTATACAAAAATTCAGGTATCCAGGAAAGTGAACAAGAACACAACATGTCCCAAGAAGACAGCCAAACTTGACTGGAGACTGAGGCTTCAAGATCTTTTCCTATGCATCACCTCATTCATCTACTCATTTCTGAGCTTTAAATACCCTTTATAATGAATTAGTAAATGTGTTTCCTCAATTCTGTGAGTTGCTGTATTAGAAAATTAACTGAACTCAAAGAGGGAATCATAGGAAGTTCAATTATAAGTAGTCAGATCAATACTGAACTCTATTAAGTTAAATTGGCAAACAAGTTGGAGATTTAAAAAGGATTTAGTATTTAAGATGTAAAATGCTTAGATTGTACAGCATTACAGAGCAGTACCTGATACAGGTAAATTACTGAGTATCTAGAGATAATTAGTTGTCCTTTCCCCAGAGTGCTACAATTGTCTTTCACTAAAAAAAAAAAGTAAGACGATTATTTACATATTAACCCTAAAATTTACCACAAAAATTATATCATTAAAATGAAAAAATAAAAACAATGATAACAAGGATTTAGATTTCTAAACACTAACCTGTCAATTTCAAGCATCCCAGAAAAGTAATACAGAATATTTCTGGAAATACTGGTTGCTTCTAAAGACCTCTCAGGTAATTACATAATCATTCAAAAAAATTGACTGACATTCTATAGAACCGAAGTGATAATAAAATCATGCTTGTTTATATATACGTATTTTTTCCATCTTGTTCTTGCTGGGGGGGGGGTTGTTTGAAGCAGAGTCTTACTACATATCTCTGGCTGGCCTGGGCCTGGGAGACCTTGGATTAAAGGAATGTGTTACTACGCTTGGCAGTTTTGCTTTCTTTGAGGCAGGGTCTTGCTATGTAGCCCAGGCTGGCCTTGTATTCACAGCACTCTTCTCCTGAGTGCTGAAACTGCAAGTGTGCACTACCACCCTGCCCTTGTATACTCATTTTTATTTATTAAGTTTCCAAGAACAAAATATTGTAACTATTTCCCTGTTTTCAGTACAAAGACCCTATTTTTATCTGTTAGGAATGTTCAGTCCATTAAATTGCTGCATATTAAAAATAAAGAAACCAGTCGGGCCATGGTAGCACATGCCTTTAATCCCAGCACTCAGGAGGCAGAGGCAGGTGGGTCTCTTAAGAGTTCGAGTTCCAGGACAGCCAGAGCTGTTATAAAGAGAAACCCTGTCTTGAAAAAACAAACCTAATAATAATAATAATAATAATAATAATAATAATAATAAAATAAATAAAAGTAAAGAAACCCTCAAATAAAATGCTTTAATAAATGTTCTTAATTTCTTTTTTAAAAGATTTATTTTTATTTTATGTGTTGGGTTTGTGTATAGGTGTTCTGCCTGCATGGATGTCGCTATATCATATGCTTGCAGTGCCCACAGAGGTCAGAAGAGGGAAGTGCCTCTCATGAGACTAGAGTTACAGACTTGTGAGCCACCACGTGAGTGCTGGGACTCAAACTCTGGTCTCCAGAAAAGCACTCTGCTTTTATTGCCTTCTAGAGCAAAATAGTTATAATGTATTTCCATGATTAATTACACAATTTAATTTGTTCCTTGAGATTCTTACCCATCTTTTATAAACATGGAAGTTTTTCCTAAACTTGTTTACTCATCTAAGTAGCATGTGAATACATCTTTCACTTGTGAAATAACTATTTTTGAACTTGGCTTAATTCATATAAGCTAATTATTTCTTCACAACAATTTCTGTGACCACAGAGAATATCACAAACCAAGAGGAAAACTGATTTACTAGTGAAAATTTATAATCACACAAGGATATATTATTTTTAAAATTTAAAAAAATCAAGGGAATTTGTGCAGAGGCAGGTAAATCTCTTGGCTATCCTTTATGAGTTCAAGGATAGCCAAGGGTATGGAGAGTGACTCTGCCTCAAAAAAAATCCCGAAATCAAAACGGGGGTGGGGGGGTGGGGGTAGGGGTGGGGGTTGTGGGGGTTGGCAGGACCAGATGGGACACATCAACATCATGTCTCTAGTGTATAGTTCTATTCTTTGCAAATTAAATATCACCCATGATGATGAACTTGAACTTTATATATGGCTTCTTTTTCTTAAAGTTAAAATGTATTTTGTTATATTTACTTATTTTGTATGTATATGCTCACATGTCATTGTACACATGTAGAGATCAGATGACAAACTAAATCAGTTCTCTCTGTCTACCATGTGAGTTCCAGGAATCTAACTCAAGTTGTCAGGTATAGTAGCAAGTGTCTCTACTCACTGAACTATCTCACTGGCCCTGTGTGGCTTCTTCTAATTGATGGAGGGAGTTAAGGTGCAACTTAGTTGCAGAGCAATGTCTACCACTCACGAGGCACTGGTTACTT